TTTACTCCAATATAAATTATAGCTGCTCAAAAATAAAAAAATACAGATGGAGGGGCATTTGCGCATAATGCGTTCGCAAAGTTATTACTTCGTGTCATTCAGTAGCGTGTCGCTCCCTCGTGGCAAAAAATCGCAGCTTCGAAAAAGCAGCTTTTTGTTGAGAATAGCCCCCCAGAAATCATGTGAAGCACCATATAGTTCACATTAGTTCCGATGGTGGCGGTAGTAGTCACTCGCATGGTAAAACAAATTATTGGCATTATGAAGTTCATTATACTGAGAATTGCACTGCCAGTCTGTGCAATAATTTGATAATTGTATTAATTCCTCAACAAATTTATGTAAATATCGTTGTAGAATATGAAAAAAATTACAGATGCACAGAGAAAAAAAGTGGATTAGCTTTAGGAAAAAGTTCCAGAAGAAAATCTGTTTAAAATTAATGATCAGACTTGGGATTAATTTTAAACCAAAATATACTTGATTTTAGGAAAAAAAAATATTTTCTGAAATCTAGAAAATTTTTTGATTTGCTGAGGGGAAATTTTGCAAAAAGGGGTTTGTGATATCCGGCGGGGTTGTAGCGCCTCGCTACATGCACACTCACGTGTCAATACACGGACACAACAACGCGTGCAGTTGAGACGACTGGACATCAGTGACATCATCGCTCTCGGTCACTCAACCGTCTAATGTATACTTCTCACTCGCACCTATTGTAACGCGTTTTCGACTTCTCGCCTTTTGCGAATATTATATTCAGTCTGGCGCTAACCGCCTATTACTCTACAAGTCGACCATCTGACTTGCTTTTCACTTTTGTATATCTACTTCTAGACGCGATTGAATAAACGACAATTAAGACAACTAATTCTTTAGTAGTGGATTGATTAAACTTCCCAATAACACCTCGATCCCTACAGGGGCGGGGGGAGGGGGTGTAAAGTGGGGAGTTTTGCAAAGATGGGTGTTTTATGAAAGGGTGGGTTATCGTTGAGGTTATCCAAAAATATCTCCGAAACTAAGGAAGATAGCGAATTTTTAAGAAAATTTGGCGGGTGGAGGTGAGCAGGGGGTGTGTATTGAGAATTGACAACTGAATAAATTCAGTTGGTGTATTTTTTCAAAAATATTTCCAAAACTAAGCGAGATGGCGATTTTTTATGAAAATTTTGGGGTCAGGGGGGAGATGTGTATCGAGAATTAACAACCAACAAATTGAGTCGGTGATTTTTTCAAAAATATCTCGGATACCATGGGAAATGGTGATTTTTTACAAAAATTTAGGCGGGAAAGGGGAGGCGGTGTGCATTGAGAATTGACAACCAAAAAAATTGAGACGGTCATTTTTTCAAAAATATCTCCGAAACCTAAGGAGATAGCAAATTTGTATTCAATGATTAGGGGAGGGGGCGAAGGGGGAGGTAAGTGGTATTGAATTCACGATGTATAACACACGCCCTAATTTTGGATAATTTTTTTTTCCAATTTTGCAGTAAAAATTCGCAATCTCCTGTTATGTCCGGAGACGTGTCAGCGTCGAAGGACACCTTTTGGAGGAAAAAGTTGATTTCAGAAAATAATAGTGTAGAATTTTTTTATATTAAAATACAGAACAGCTAACTTTATAATTAGTGTTAATATTTGAATTTTCATTTAGACGACGCTAGGTGAAATTTATCACTCTTACCTTGATATTTATTAACGTAAATAGTTATAACGTTAAATAGTTATTAACGTAAAAGATCGAAAAGGGATAATTCGGAGATGAGGAATAGTCAAATGATTCCGCGACAAAACAAATTTTTGTTGAAATTTACAAGAAATGAATTTTATATTCTTTTACAATATTGGGACAAATCTATAAATAAAGATTGATTTCTTTAAAGTAATAGTTAACGAATTGTATTATCCCTGGAAGGTTCTTTGTAGATTCCGATGGTTTCTTAATTTGGATTTTGAATAAGTTGAAAATAATTATTTCTGGACTTACAGTTGATGCTATTTTTTTTGGTGAGATTAATCCTTAAAATTGTAAGCGCGGGTCCCTCAGTGAGACACAGATTTTTCTCCACCAGAATTAAAGTCTTCTCTAGTTCTATTATGGATACTTGCTATCGAATTACTTTCACCCACTCGTTTATTTTTGAAGTTCGGGAAAGTTAAGGGTGAGAATGTCCACAATCACGGAAAACTGGTTAATTAGTCCTCTTACAATGCAAGAAACACTACTATTTTCGACTTAAGGATGCAGTATCCCTGTGCAACTTCCTTTCGCTCAGCTGTGAACTATATTCTATAACTACCACTCCCGATAACCGTTTTTCACGCGAGTTATGAGTAGCGGGGATCGAAAGAGGCAGATCGATTTCGTCAGTAATTTCCACCAAGTCAAATTAACGCTCCGACGGTTGCTTCTAGACTGGTGTGTAATTCTAATTTTGGGGAGTGAGTCGGTTTTTGGTGGATACACGATTCGGTTTTTGATTGGTGGAAATAATGGCGTAATTTTCCCACTTTTTATTCCTTGAGGGAATTGACCTGTCGAGTCAGTAATTTCGGCAGCGCTGGGTTTCGCGGGTGGAGTTCATTGCCCGGAAAGTGTCGCTCTGTTGAAATAAAGAGTGCACTTTTTTTTATAATTTTGCGAATTTAACATTCCACATTGACGATGGCTTGTTGAAAATAAAAATCAAATCACAATTAATACTCATTTTATGAATATTTTTGGATATTACACTCCCTTAGTTTTAGAGATATTTTCGAAAAACTCACCGACTCAATTTTTCTGGTTGTGAATTTTCAATGCGCACACTCTCCCCCCCCCCCCCTAATTTTCGTAAAAATTCGCTATTTCTCATAGTTTCTGAGATATTTTTGAAAAACTCAACGACTCAATTTCTTTGGTTGTGAATTCTCAATTCACAAAAATTTTGTCATGACCTTTTTTGTAGAGCCCATTGAGGATTACAAATAAGATCATGAGAAAAAATTTTCTATCTCTCTTAGATTTCGAGATATATTCATCAAAACTGGTCAAAAGTCAAAATCGATTTAACCCGGTTCACTTGTTCGCTAGTAAATGTACTCGATATTTTAAAAGGTAGACAAGCGAGTGTATACATGTCGATGATTTAACCGTTGGCAAAAGACGATGGCTAAGGAACTCCAAGGATATTTATATTTTGTTCTTGGAACAAAGTAAATTCAAATAATATTGCATATTATCTGGAGTCTTTCCTTGTGACGTGAGTCACTCGGTCTGGAAAAATGATTGAAATCCTCCAAAAACAAAAAAAAAATTTTTTTTTGAACAAACCGACCTAGTGCGCCTTGGTAAGCATTGTATTAAAAAAAATTATTGTTTCTCAGCAAAAAAAAAATTCACAAAAAATTGCATTGTTTCTCAGAAAAAAAATTGAGTAAATGCGGAGTAACCATTTCAATGCGTGGTTGTAGAAAAATGGCCGAGTACTTATTTATGGATAATTGTTTCTGGAAAATTGAAATAGTGCAGAAATAAGGAAGAGCGCCAAGTTCATTAAGTTGAACTTGTCATTTCGAAAAACCACAGAACTTTTCATCACATCTAGAAACAATTTCAGCTTTTTCCTACAGTCGGCTTGATCTGTTGCAAATTTCATAAATTTGAACTCATCAATGCCAACTCAATATTGTCTATTCCATACGTCCATAAAAAGTGTGGTTGTCAACACAAAGTCAATGAAAAAGAGTGTCAATACGAGTGTTTTTTTAAGAAATAAATTGTTCAGAAAATTCTCAGGACCAACGTACTTGGCACGGTTTTTAAAATAACCCTCGCAATGAATGAACTCTCCATGCTTTTATGTCGCGAATGCCGATAACTACCTGGCAATCACTACCTTAATTAATTTAATTTTTATTCATGAAAATGAAAATATTTGCAAATGGAAAAGAATAAGGTTAAGGCATTAACTTAAACTATCCGGCAATTCCATCCAACACAAGCACACAATTGACGATCTAAAGATTTGAACACCTAGCAAGGTGTAGTATGCTGCAAAGCAATTTCTGAGTCCCAAAGTCGATCTCAAATTTTAAGCAATAGACTCCCATATAAGGATCCGCATTAAGATATAAAACCGCGCCAAGTACGTTGGTCCTGAGAATTTTCTGAACAATTGTTTTCTTAAAGAAACAGTCGTATTGACACGCTTTTTCATTCACTTTGTTTTGATAACCACACTTTTTATGGTCGTACCCACTCCGTAACTCACAGGACAATATTGAGTTGGCATGGATGAGTTCAAACTTATAAAATTTGCAACAGTACAAGCCGACTCTAGGAAAAAGCTGAAATTGTTTCTAGATCTTAAGAAAAGTTCTGTGGTTTTTCAAAATGACAAGTTCAACTTCATGAACTTGGCGCTCTTCCTTATTTCTGCACTTTTTTCAATTTCACAGAAACAACTATCCATAAATAAGTACTCGGGCATTTTTCCATAACAACGGATTGAAATGGTTATTCAGCATTTTTTCAATTTTTTTTTCTGAGAAACAATACAATCTTTTGTGAAATTTTTTTTGCTGAGGAACAATAAATGTTTTTTTTTGAAATTCAACTCTAAACAATGTCAATTTTGTGAAAGCATTCCTTATTAGATTCAAAAAATTAATTAATGAATAATTTCTTATTAAATTCAAACAGTTATTGTGGCCTGCATCAACATATGAGGATAGACGAACTCAGTAACTTATAGAATGCAAGAATTAAGTCATTTAGAATTTTTTTTCCGGAAAACCATAAGGACTAACCTTTGGGTGATGTTGGAAAAAGGGGAATTTTTTGAAAAACCATAACTTGCCGAGAAAAAATTCAAACCGTCTAGAAAATTTTATGAGTACTTAGTCTCATGAACTTCCTTTTGACAAAAAATCGACAAGACAATCCCAAATATGACATTTTTTCCATCTCGAACGTCACGTGGAATTGCTCATAAAATAATAAAAAAATTGACCTGTTCCTTCAATTCTGACTCCAACTTCCTTGTTGATCCGAATTCTGCTACCTGCTGTAGTCCTTCACTGGAAGTCTCATTGAACTGCCAGAATCTGTAATCGATGGTATGTGAGGCGCCAATAACATCCGAAAAGCGAATAAGCCAGCCTTTTGAAGGAAAGTCCTAAACATCAAACGCAATGCATAACAACTAAGTGTGCATGTTTGACATTACGGTTGAAAGCACGAATGTTCCCTATTACCTTCGGGTGAGTATTTCTGGACCAAAGACCCTCAAAGGTGACTTCATATTTGGCCTCGTCACAGGCACAGCATTCGGACAATACAGGTCCGGGGTCGTCTTCCTCTACCCTTGGATCTTGACAAACCATTTTTGCTATACTGTTCTCGTCAATGAACCATGTTTCCGGACTTTCTGCAACTGAAGCTCTGAAATTATTAACGCAATTAAATGAATTAATCATGGATATTGACTCAAAATGGGCGGATTTGATCAGAAATAGTATAGTATATTGTATTAAAAGTGCGTAAAGTTCCACGTTCCACCTGCCTAGTTTACTATTCGGAACGGTAATGGGGATAATGTGGTTGTTTTTATGCACGAATGCGTGAAGTTCAAAAGCTTCGATTTACGCACTCGTAATGCACTTTATGCACGTTCATGAACTTTACGCACGCCGAGTGAAAAACAACCGCTTTAAGCACACTAAACCGTTTCGAAAAGTACACTTTTGAAGCAGCTATTACAAAAATCTATTTTTTACATAGTATAGCTTCACTTTAATTTTTCATTTTTAATTCATACAGGCTAACCCAAAATTCATCGTACGTATCGTGAGAATAATTTGCGAGAGCAGTCAGTCGAAGACGAAAGCTTCTGAAATTTTCGTCTGCGGCGCGTTAGTCACGAGTTAGCAAAGTTGGGGAGCAAGTTCGACCGGATGTTTAATTATTTAGAAGTTCTTCTCTTCTCTTGTGAGGTGATTAAAGGAAGATGAAAATGTTTGAAGTATCGAAATTATGAAAAAATCAAGTCATTTGGACAAGGCCGAACATTTCGATCCCTTATGCGGGGTCGTCCACACACGCGTCATTTATTTAATTTCTATAATGCGACGTTCGCGATTTCGACTGGTTTCATAGTTATTTCCCATTACCAATATCCCCGAGTCGACTGGTTGACCCTTCTCTCTACTAGCACATTCGGTGTTAGCTCACGGGGCGTTCGGTTAAACTTGGGATCTGTATGGAAAGGATGTCTGTAAATTAATAACACTGTTCTAAGTAAAAATGATGATTGAATGTAAATAGTAAATTTGAAGTATTTCCTCATTCTAATTTTGTGGTATAGATTGGGGGTAAACGTAAAAAGTGCCGAGATTGCGCTGCATCGCTTGAAAATTAACCCTGAAAATTTTGAAGCTTCACTAGTGAATGGAAGTTCTGCCGAGCGGATGTGTTTTTATTTGAGACTCATCATTATTCGACCGATAACAATTTTATCCATAAATTTTTCAAAAATAATTTTATGGGGTTAATTTTATGGAGTCGGGGTTTAAGACATACTGCACGAGATTGTTTTGCATCCAGTGTCATATCAAAGTGCAAAACAAGTTGAAGAGAGTGAAACTGAAACTTTTGAAACGACGCAAATCACCGATAAGACAGCGTTATTTGGTGAAAAAAGGACAGATGTCATCATCTATAAGAACAGTCAGTGGTGTTTAGAGAGAGGATGCACCGCACGCATGTGCACATACGAGAGTATCTTTCAGAATCTGGAGGAAGTTGATCAGTCATTAATTTTAGCTGATAAGGATACATATAAAGTTTGTGGTACAGATTATAACGGAATTTTTCATAAGGATTTGGAAAACCACGTTAACTCGCCCATTTCCCCTAGACTATGGGAGAACTCAAAAAAAAAATTATCGATGGGCGCCAGCCGTCCTTTGACTTCGGAGACAACAAACTGAATAAACAGACCTCAAACGAAGAACGAAGAAAACAGAAACTAACGCTTAATCTAACAGAAACCTAAAACTAAAGAGTCCAGGGGAAGGTAATAGGTTGTCCACGCTGGTTAGGGGGTCGGTTGTGGAGAGAGAGGTAGGTTTGGATGAAAAATAGGCCAATGGGTATTGCTAAAAAAATGAATAACGTAAACCGAAACACCGGAGTTAATGCTGTGTAATGTATGGAGCTTATATTCACTTGAAAAAATAGGACAACTATAAATAATTTTCTCAGAAAAAATATATCCAAAATAACGAAATTGAACCTTTAATTTAGCAACAAAAAACGCTTCATTAACTCAAAACAATTAATAAAATTGAAAAAAAATCAGAATAATCACACAAAAAAACATAGACTTCAATACTCAATAATTATTGAGCAGACGAAGAGCCAGAGGACAAATGTTTAACGCGAACTTCAATCCTACGACTCGAATTCTCGTCAACGCCACGAAATAGAATTAAATGTGAAAGAAATCACATGAAATCTACCACGCGTCCACGTCCAACGCAAAAAAAAAATCACGACTCTAATCAACTCACGTTAACCAGTAACATTCTCACCGTTCAGCGCGAAATCCGAATAAGAAAAAAGGAACGGACCCGAGATCGTACGGAATCGAACAGCCGAATCCACCTCCCGTATCCCAGTGTAATCTGAACGAAAAATTCTCGTAATTATGCATAAAAAAGGAATAATTGAACTCTACAATAGTCCTGAAAAGATTTCTGCGGCACAACTCCAGATGGTTTCGAAAACCATGCGGCAACGCGAGTCGAAACCCAAAATCTCATCTAAATTTCTGGTCAGACGCAAAATTCTCCCCAGAGGGGCATCGCCCGAATGCACTCTATCCGAAGGCCATGGACTCGATGAGTGCTAGTCACCGACTCCTCACCCATTCTAACTCTAACTCGTACTCGACTAGACTCAACTACTGCTACTGTGCTACTAATACTCGAATACTGCACGAATACGCAAAAATCGCTCAATTTGGACCCCAAAAGAGAAAAGAGAGCGATTATCTAATGTCAAAAAATAGAAAGAGAGCGTTATATCCACGTAGTGGGATCAGCTGCTGTGACGTAGTAAATGTCCACCGCTAGGTGCGACGAAGCTACTAAAGGGACACGTTAACCTAATAGCCATAAACGCGTAATTTCATTGAAATTGAACCGACAAGTGAACGAAGCAAAAAAAGAAAATGAAACGGAATAAAAAGGCGGGAAATTCGCCCAGATAAGATCCACTAAATATCATTACCTCTCCGGGGGTGCATTCTCAAAGATTACCGGGGCAGAGACGTAAGATACACCAAAACTATAATTCAACAGAAAATATAATCCACCACAAAATAAAACTTGATTCCCTAAAACGTACAGCGACCTTGGCAATTTACATGGTTGCAACAGTCGCGATTGACTATGTGACCTTCCACCGAAACCCAAAACCGAAACTGTCTCATCCTGATAAATCCATACATTGAGCTCCAGCATTTCAGCTGGGTCTGCACATTTCCCCGAAGATTAAATGCACGGGAGGATTCCCATAAATAATCGCGTAGCTCGATAATATTTTGGCCCAAACAACGAAAATCTCTAGGTCTCCGATAGTTAACTTTATCAAAACTTATATCACGTAAATACTATCCCGAATAACAATGAATTTTCCTCAATATGAACGATTTCCAGACGGTCACTAAGACGATAATTTTCCCTGTCCAAAAATTACTAAAAATAAAAGGCTCTGGGTCTTTGTCTGACTCACGCTTAATCCGAATTTCTCGATGGTTTATAGATCGCTTAAGGAATTCCCAGAATTCCTTACAAGGTAGATTAGATTAGATTAGATATATGCCGCTGGTCAATATGTAGACCAGAGTCACCTAAATCATATGATCTTTTGTAACATCCGCCTTTATATACTCAGTCCACCAGCTCTAGCCCTGTACCTTTTACTAGGATAATGAGGGTAGCTACTGTCACTTACATAGGTCCTCTGATTCCATGAAAATCTGGCTGACGAGGGGGATGTCACTGGAGCTTAAATTACAAATAAATTGAACAATAATTTAATTCTTCATTTTTTTCTTTATTAATGATTTCTTTTACAAAAAGATTTTTATGATTATAACTGATGTAATAGTCCAAGTACATTCATAAATTTTACAATTGAAAAGTATATTTTGTGTTTTTTTCTTTCAAAAATTATTACATTCCACACAATTTCTTATTATAGGCGGTGGGCCATCAAAAGTACCACTCCGATTTATATCTGCAAACTGATGCACTATTACTCAGTGATATTTTTGAGAATTTTAGGGACAGTTGTTTGCGATCATATAAGTTGGACCCTCTTCACTATTATATCGCCCTGGACTTGCTTTTGACGCCATGGTGAAAATGACCAGAGTAGAACTCGAATTGTTCCAAGATTCAGAGATGCTGCTTTTCATCGAAAAATGTATCAGAGGAGGATTATCCCAATGCTCCAATAGATATGGCAAAGCGAATAACGAGTATATGGGGACTGAATACAGATCTGACGATCCCGTTTCATACCTCATGTACTTTGATGTAAATAATTTATATGGCGCCGCCATGAGCCATTACCTAACATAAGGTGGATTCAGCTGGATGCAAGATTGGACTTCACTAAACGTTCAGAATATTTCCGATAATTCAAATGTTGGCTACATCTTCCAAGTTGAACGTGAATACCCGGAAGAACTCCACATGGATCACTGAGACTTGCCGCTATGTCCTGAACACATTGTACTCCCCAACGGCGGATTCAAGAAACCGAAACTTCTTACCGCTCTCAATTCGAAAAAAAATTATATCATCCACTATAAAAACCTGAAGCAATACCTGAGTCTCGGTTTAAAACTGACAAAAATTCATCGAGTTTTGAAATTTAATCAGAGTGCTTGGCTGAAGAAAAATTTCTACAAACACATGAATAATGCTGTGTTCGGAAAGACCATGGAGAATGTTAGGAAACAGAAGGATGTCAAGTTGGTCACCAAATGGGAAGTTCGTTGGGAGGCTGAAGTTTCGATTGCAAAGCCCAATTTTCACAGCCGTATCTTTTTCGACAAAGACCTAATCATCATCCAAATGAATCGAAAAAAAATGAAATTTACAAAACCCATACATGTAGGTTTTAGTATTTTGGATATTTCTACGACATACATCTACGATTTTCACAAGTAATACCACGAGAGCTTCAAAATTATCGGGTAATTCCCGATAGGTTCGTGTTTTTCGATCACCCGTGTTTTTCGGGTGAAAAATTTTCCTGAAAAACGTGACGACTTTCTTTGTATGCCGGGAACCTTGAGGGTTATTTGCCTTGTAGGTTCTCCATCATTTTTCTTCTCTTCTCGAAAGTGATACATCATTGCCTTGGAT